TCAGAATACTAAGAAGAAGAAGATCGTATATACCCAATCATGTGACCACCTGTGCGGGGATATTGGTTGTTTTCTTCTTCTTAGAGTGTTAGTACCCAATTGATACTTGTCGGGCTAAACTTACTCGAAATAGAATGGTAAAAGCAGTAGCTAACGTAAACAAAAGCCACACAATCAATCAGGATCGAGGTACCCACACTAAACCACTTGCAGGTATTCCATTGCTGAAGAAAGAACAAAACTAAACCTTACAGTTATAAAAACTGTTACGGTAGACAGAAAAAAGGGCATCGGAAAAAATATCAAAAAAGAGAACAAAAACACCTCATTAAGCCCCAAAATGGAAAAAAGCACCTCAATAATTATTATATGATTGTAACGACCGATTCGTGTCATTAAAGCCAAATTTAATGCATTAAATAACAATACGATTGTAATATGTTTCTTAAGATGTTGATACACATGTATTAATTCAAAATTAAAGAAAAGGAATTACCTAACTTCATTATTCTAATTAGACAAATAATCAGGATTCTTAACAAATTTTAAAATCGTTCCAAATTTCAAGAAAAACACTTATTGTACTGAGAAAACATAATATACCCTTAATATTTTTTTCAACTAGTTATTTTTTTAAACAAAATTGTATTGAATTCAATACTTTATCAGGTTTGTTAATATTTTTAAATCATCAAAAGATTTACCATCTGAGAAACTACTGTTAATTAATAAACTATTTATAACAATATTAGTTTACATTATATTGTCTGGTAGGAAGAATCGGAATCAGTCTAGTTATAGATATAGATACACTATCTGGCCAAAAGTATTCGGGCACCCAAGTGGTGAGGACTTAGAGTGTTCTGAGGCACATATTAATATGAAGTTGGTCCTCCTTATGGCTCATGTCTGGAATAACTTTCCACCAGTTTTTGATAGGTGGCCATAGGAATTGACTTCCATCACAGCTGAAGTGAGTGCTTGCTTGCATTGAGGAGGTTCGATTTGACAGTCTACGTAATCTGAACTCTCATTCGTCCCCCAGTACTGTTCTGTGGTAATTAGGTCTGGGCTCTGAAAAAACCAATCCAATTTCTGAACACCCATTTTATCAAACTACGTCTGTGCAAGTTTTCTTCGATGTGTGAGTGGAGCAGTTAATCCTGCTGGATGAGAAATTGGCCGTTAGAGTTGGAAGTGCAGCACTGTCCAGAATGTTCACATACAACTCAGAGTTCAGGTTTCCAACCACAGAAACTAACGGACACAGGCCAAACCACACCCCCACACCATTATGCTTCCACCACCATTACAACTGGATGTTCGGATGGTTTTAGCCAGATAGAGTATAGATACGGATACAGAAAATGATTTAATAGAATTTTCTAGAAGTTATAGAAATAATAAATAAGAGTCTGTACAGAATAAATAAATAAGATGCACTTTTTGGGGCTTTTTCTTTAAAAGTGTTTTCTTCTTTTTTTTCCCCGTATGATTCACTGTTACAAATTCGCAAAAAGACAGTAATAAACAATAGCCTATTACATGCTTAAACTGTATTATTTCATATGACATCTGATCTTCCCATCGCAGAACAAATTAAGTTTAAAAAAAAAATTAAGTATTCAAATAAACGCAAAAAAAAAAAAAAATTATAGTAATCTCTGCCAGTATTGAACCATGCTAAAAAGAACACAGAAAAAAGCATCAGAAGAAAAACCCACAAAAAAGCACCTCATTAACTATTATATAAATCTAATGACCGATTCGATTCGGGATATTCAGTTCGAATTTAACGTCATCAAAATATTATTCAATCGCATTTAGACACTTTTCAAAAAATTATTTGAGATTCAAAGTTTAATCTGAAGTTGACTAAAGAACTTATAATACTTTACATATCTTTAATTGTAAGTACAATTTTATAATATGTAACAATAGAATTGTTATAAATAGTTTCTCAATTAACAAAAGACCCTAGGGTTAAAATCGTTTGACCATATAAATTTTGTTAAAATTTGATTTTAATAAAAAATATTAACAAATGTGATAATGCATTTCAGTTTAATATAATTTCCTTCTTAAAGAAAATTAGTTAAGTTTTACTTGTATATTATTATTTCACAATACAATAAGTGCAATTATTGAAATTTGGAAGTATTTTAAAACTGCTGAACTGCATTTCATACGTAGAATGAAGAGAGAAAAGTTCTTTTCTCTGTACGTTTTAGTTTAATCATTATATATATACAGTGGTGGCCAAAAGTGTGGACATTTTTTGAAAGTATCATGTTTTTCAACTTTGTGTGCTCGTAGAATATATTAATTTTCACTTAAATACAAACGTTTATATATCAAATTGAAGGTAATTTAATGTAGAATTTAATAGTAAATACAGTATTACAATATCTGCATCACAAAAAAAGTAATGCACCTAATAGTAAGATCCATCTTAGATTTGCATTTTTTTAAAGTGTTACTTACACAATCAATACTTAGTAGGATAACCCTTATTTTTTAAGACAGCTTCACAGCGTCTTTTCATCGATTACTGGAATGTTTTTTGATGATTAAGCTTTTTCGAATTTCAAAATTCCGTTATTGAAACTTGCTTTGTTGACTTAACTAGTGAAACACAGTAAATCAAGAATTTTTAGTTTTGATTTAGTTGGGTTTTTTTAGTCAACAACATTCTAATCGTTAGACTGGAGAAACTAATTCAATCGCATCATCTCCAAATACATATTTAAAGCGTTTTAACTTTGAAATATCGAGAAACTTTAACTTAATAGCCCTCCAAATATTGTGCAAGTACCTTATCCCTTAACGATCGATTAATTTTCAAGAAAACGGTCATAAAAGTGCATATTTCTTTGGCTTTTGTATTTGTATTACGTATTTGATTAGTGCTGATATCTAGTTTAAAACAAACTAATTATCTACAATTACCTTAAAAATATCCTGGTACTGCCATCTGATGTGTAAAATGAGAAATGAATTTTTTTTCGGGCAATAGAAATGAATTAGTTTTATTCTTAATGGCGCGTTACTACTGAACACTCCAGCCCGTCAATATCACGGGAGCGAGAAATAGAGGGCGAAGCCTCACCCCGTCATTTTCACGGGAGCGAGAAGGAAAGAGTTAAAGAGGTAGGTTTTTGAGATTATCTTATTTTTGGTGACAAGGTAGGAGGATCATTAGAAATATTAACTTAAGACAGTTGAATCCCCACAATTTCTGAAATTTTATTATAAAACTTTAAGAAAAAATCTGTAAAAACAGTCCTGGAAATAAAATAAAAATCGCGTCGAAAAGAAATCGCTTCAAAAATTGCATCACTTCAAAAAATTTCGAAATTTTATAAAATAAAATAAGAACATACATTTCGTTATTTTAATCGAACTTAATTTTAAAATTCTTAAAAAGAAATTACCACAGTAAAAAGTCAAAGCAAAAAAACAAGGAAAGCTGTTGCAATTTTCTTACGTAAGAATAGGCTGAAAGGTGGCTTATAATTAATATCTTAATTATTAATTTATTGAAAAAATAATTTACTAATTCACGCAAAATATTTTGTTGTAGGGATTAAATACGTATGATCAGCGCGCTCTTCTGGCATTCGTAAATTCCTCTAAAATCTGTAAATAACTTCAAAAGTAGCAAATATTAACTTTCATAATATTTGAACGGCCTTTTATATGTATCAACGCATAATGTTTCACTTGTAAGACGACGTTTTATTCATTTATGCTTTCCAAACAGCAAAACAATAATTAAGGAAAAGCAATGGTTACATTATCTTTGGAAGATTTAAAGAAAATTGTAATTAATACCCGTAAATTAAATTGAAAAATCTAAGTTACTTTGTGTTAGAAAAAAATTTTAAATTTGTTATTTTCACACATCGAGATTTTCTAATTAAATTTCCTTCTGCAAAAAAGAAAATTTTCATCGAAATTTCTACAAAGTCATTCAATGAAAATTTATCTCAGTTATATAACTTTAAATTTGAAAGGGTATATATATATAAGGAATATATATAGGGTATATATAAGGTATATATATATATATAAAAATTATATAATAAAGGGTATGCAATAAATTAAAAAATCTAAGTTAATTTGTGTTCAAAAAAACTTGCCTAGAATATTTGGAAATTTATTTTCCCACATCGAGATTTTCTAATTAAATTCCCTTCTGCGAATAAAAAAAATTCCAACAAAATTTCTGCAAAATCTTTCAATAAAAATTTATCTCCGTTAAATACTATAAATTTGAAAGGGTTTCCAGTTTCACTTACTTTGACATTATAATCAACGATAATAATGTTATGTCGGAAGAAACTGGCTCGAGAATTCAAAGAAAGAAATAAAAGTCATTACTCATATCAATATTTATTCAAATCAAATTCATTACCACGGAAATTAAATATTGTAAGATTTCAATTACGTAAGATTATTAACTCTTCATTTTAATAAACAGAGACAGAAATAATTTATAACACTTATGGAATTAAGCGCGCCTATCTTGGCGAGTGGGGGGGGGGCATTTTTGGGAGAGGAGATGTAGAGTTGGTTCGAAGAAGTTGAAATGAGAACACGGACTTCTCTCGCTCGAGATTTTTTGATATGTTATTTCATGTGTTGAATATGTGTGTGTGTGTATTTGTTTGTGTTGTGGAAACGAAGAGTTTGAATAAATAATAGTTTCCAACCTGGACTATTTATTTGTGCCACACATTACAATATAAAATTTATTAAAGAGTAATAAGATCTTTAGTAACTTATGGTGGTGAAATCTTGGTTTTTAGGAAATCAGATACGACGACTTATTAACATCGCAAAGAAATATATTTAAAAAAATTTTTGGACTGATTCAAATAAACAACTCTCAGTGGTAAATTAAAAACAAAATTGAATGTGACCATTTCTTCAATTTTGAGAACAAATTCTACAACTATCAAATAAGAACACTGAAACCAGACATAAATAATAAGAGATGATGATAATAATAACTTTATTAGATCTTCTATATTCTACATTTAGATCCAACAGAAGAACTGCTCTGAGATGTTTTTTTCGTTCTGGAGTTCAATTTAAACGTCTCTTAGAAGCAAATATTGCTTCAGACATTTGGGAATGTCCAACCATTCGACTCCCTTGGGCAGTTGAAAGCACTCCTTCAGCTGGCGTCTAATGATACACTTGGACAGATGCTGCAATGATCTTGGACACTTCCCCTGACTGTCAGGATCTCTCACCAATTTGCAGTACCAGTCCCAGGCTTTCATGGCTTTCCGAAAGGTCTGTGGTTTCGCCCAGTTAAAGCTTCTGGTGAACTCCTCCATGGTGATGTAGGGGTCCGGAATGGAGCTCCACAGAATTCGAAAAACAAGTTCGTAATAGAAAGGGGGATGACTTATTCCATACCTGTAGTGAAGGTAGAGACAGAAGAGTTGGTATGATCTAAATCTTAATGAAGCATCGATTACCTCCCCAACACAGTATATATCACGTATTTCATCTCTCAACTTTGTGTGCTCGTAGAATATATTAATTTTCACTTAAATACAAACGTTTATATATCAAATTGAAGGTAATTTAATGTAGAATTTAATAATAAATACAGTATTACAATATCTGTATTACAAAAAAAGTTATGCAATTAATAGTAAGATCTATCTTAGATTTGCATTTTT